CGGCCGTTCCAGAACATCCTGTGCCTTAAAAGCCATAAAAGGCTTAAGTATGGAGCGGTGATGCTGGGAGCCCGCACGCACACGCGGCTGCCGCTCCGAGGAGGAGAGCAGATGGGGAAACACCCTCCTCCGTGACCGTCCTACATCTTCCAGAGGGGGAACAGCAGCGCCGCTGGATTTATGGGGATTTTTTTTCCCCCCTCCCACGCAGCGTTCCCAGCCCCGGCTGCTCCCGGCGCCGCTCGCATCCCTGGAGGCGCTCGGAAGGGGATGCTCGGAGGGCACCGGGCATTTTTGGGGTGAAGTCGCGGCGGGTTCGTGGCCATGCTCCGCCCGGACTCGGTTTCCCCGGAGCTGTGAGTACCTCTGCTCTTCCCCAGCGATCCCGGCGGGAAGGAGGGAGCTCCTCGCTGGAGGTCAGTGGGTGATTCGGGAGAGGGATGCCTTGGAAGGGAACAGCTTCCTGCCGGCGTCAGGCTTTTCAAACCTTTGAGTTTGAAAAAAAAACTGGGTTAAAAAAGGTTAAAAAGGATGGGTTTCCCCTTTACTTTTTGTGCAGAAGGGCGGGTTTACCCTTACTTCTTATTTATTTCTTTTTTTTTATTATTTTTTCCTTCCTCCCTGTAGCCCCCAAATCCCGTATTTGGAGCCTTTCTCCCAGCCCAGGCCCTGGCAGGGACGGGGGTGTGCCGTGACCTCTCCCCAGCTGTGATCTGGCCCAGGCTCTTCCCATTCCCTCCGCAGGGATGCAGCCGAAACACAGAGTGACGGGAGCTCTGGAAACACAACCCGGGAGAGGCTGCGGGGCTTGAAAAAGCCCTTCTGGGTTTGTGACTCGTGCAAAAAAGAGAAGCTGTTCGTGCAGAGGCAGCTTTGGGGGGCGAGGGGAGGGATGCAGGTTGGGCATCCCAGTCGAGGGGAAGGGGATCCCTTCGGTCCTGCAGGTTGGTCTTGATTAAATTATAACAATGAAATGTGAGCAAATCTTACCTTGTTCTGCTGATTCTTCAGCCCACACAGGGGAAAAAAAAAAGGCTGGTCTGGGGTCTTTGTCTGTGCTAAAAAAACGAAACAGCTTCTCTCCCTGTCCCGTGGCTGCAACACTCCCGAAATGCTGGTGCTGTGGAATATTCCCTTGCACAGCCTCCCTGCCCTGCTCCTGTCAGCAGCTGCAGGAAACTGCCTTTGGCACCAGGAGGGTGGAAACCATCTCGGGGGGACGGGGATGGGGGGAAAGGGGGAAGCTGAAGGGGGAGGTCGGATGGGTCACAGCCTCCAAACTGCCCCTCCGTGAGTCTGCAGGGGATGCTCGGGGTCAGGAGGAGCAAAAGGATCTGCCTGTGAGCTCTGCTGCTTTTTGTTTGCTTGGTACAATTCATGAGCTCCTAATCCTGATGGGTTTCCTCTTTGCTTTTGCCTTTTTTTTTATTTTATTTTATTTTTTTGCCAGCTGGGTGATTTGCAGCGAGAAGGCAGAGAACTAGTGGATTTTGTTGTTGTTGTTGTTATTTTTCTGGGTAGCTGTTACTATGGCAAGGAAACTTGATTCAGAGAGAGGTCAGCAATGCCAGGCTGAAAATCTCATGCATGTTCTGTTTAAAGAACTCAGCTGCCAGGCTTTGAGCAAGGGAGAAGGAAAAGCACCAGAGTCCCTGGTTTTCAGAGGGTTTCAAGCCTTTTCTGCCTAAAAGTGGGATTTATTTGCCAACCCAGGCTTGCTGTTCCATGACATTGTGGGCTGAGCTCTCTGGACTGTTGCACAGTTTAGGGGGTTTTGGGGTGCTGAGCCCCTCTAAAAATCTATTTGGTGGCAGAGAAATGAGCTTTATCCCTGGAGGAGGAGGGATTCCTGGTTCCCTTTTGGATGCTGAGCAGAGGGAACGTGGACTTAAAGCTTCCTGAACGTTGTATTTCCTGACTCTGCTGCCTTAAGGAATAATTTCTTTCCAGCAAAGGCCTGAGCCCACACCAGGCTGGAGTTTATCTGCCAGATTTGGGCAGACAAATCCCAGACCACCACATTTCCCTGCTTCCAGGAGGAAAAGCAGCTCCCTTCCATTAGTGGGATTGATGGGGAGCTTTGGGTGCTGCTCCCACACCTGAAACTTTCTCTGTGTGTTATTTGGGGTGCTCCTCACCCTCCTGCCTTCCAGCACAGGTGAAAACAGCACAAAGAAGCTGCCACTGTGTGTCCCCTCCTTCCTCATCACTTTATTCCTTAATAAAGCTCGGATTTTACCCAATATGGGATGGGATAGCTGGGAAGCTCCAGCTGCAGGTTGGGATTTTGGGGAGATGTGGGGTCCCACCTCCACCTGGAGCTTCCTGAGCCCCAGGAGAGCAGGAATGCTGATCCCAGGACAGCCTGCCTGAGGTGTGCTGGTCCCTCTCTGCCCCTCAGAGCAGGTGAGTGCTTGAGGAGCAGGAAACACTTCCCTTCTCCAAACTGTGCCTTGGATCCTGTGCCTGGAACAGCTCCAGGGAAGCACCCAAATGTTGCTGTAACTGGAATTGCACTGGGAAGAGGGTCAGGAGCAGGCAGGGCTGAGCTGGGCTGTGCCAGACTCTCCCTTTTTGACAGTGGGTGACATTCCTGGAGATCTCCCCTCTGTGTCCTCCTTCCTGGGCTTGCACCACAGTCCCTGGGACAGAAATGGGTTGATTCCCTGCCCTGAACCATCTCCTTTGAGCTGCCTTCCTGGGGGCTGTGCTGTCATCTCTCCTGCCCTGGGTTTGATGGAGCACAGGCAGCCAAGGCAGAGCTGGAAGGGAGCTGCTCCCTCCCACCTGGTGCTGAGGAGCAGGAGCTGTGATTCCTGCTGGGCTCTGGCTGCTATTCCCAGGGTGCTGCCCCTGTTCCTGCCTCTGTGGTGATGCCTGTCCCTGGAGCAGTGGGAATTGCTGCTGGAAGTTGTTGGGTGATGCTGGGTGTCGGGTTGTTTGCAGCCCCTTCTCCCTTGGGAGAGACAAGAGCCTTTTCCTGGAGCAGGAGTTTCATGGATTCCTCTGCCCCACTGGTGACTGTGCCTGTTTTAACCTGCCCCTGGTGACAGCAAGGAGCACGAGGGTTGTGTTTGGGGTTGGCAGATGTGATGTTCTGGACCCAGCTCCAAATGGGGCTGTGATGGGAGTCCTGGGCCTGACCCATTCCCAGAGCTGGTGGTGGAAATCTGGGATCGTGCTGCTGGAGTCAGTGGAGCTGATGGTTGGAGGGAGGAGATTTGGGCTCTGAACTGGGGGATTTTCACTCCTGGAGCAGCAAAGCTCCCAAATCCTGGGGAGAGGTGGGATCAGGAGGAACAGGGAAGCAGCACCGAGCACGGACTTCTCTCCCTGTTCAGCCCGTGGATCCCTCTGACACCCACCAGTGCTTGTGATAAACCACAATTCATGGCAGGTAATAAACACCAGTGACCCAGGGGCTCTCCAGGATGAGCCCAGTGTGACCTGCAGGGTGAGGAATGGCTTTTCCTTGGAGTCCCAGCACAGGGAGCTCAGTCCTGCACACCAAGAGCCCTGACCCCCTCTCAGTGGGTGCTGGGGGGGCTCCCCCTGCCCAGCCAGGCTCCACATCCACTTGGAAAAGACCCTGGAGGGTTTGTAGGTGCTTGCTGAGCTCTTAAAGCAGGGATTTTTGTCCTGCAAGGGCAAGGTTTGGGTGCTGGAGTGGGCTCAGCTCCTCTGGTAGAAAAGCAATTTCCCTTCCTTTTGATTTCAAAACGTCAATGCTTCCAATTAGTTTGGGATAATGAAGTGGTAATTCCCTGTCCCTGGCTGCAGTGCACTGAGGGGGTGGCCAGCAGGTTTTGACAGTGCTGGCATTGCTTCCCAGGGAGATTCAGGTGATGCTGGAGACAGGGAGACAGAGGACGTGGGCACAGTGTTTCAGCTGACCTTGATTTTCTTTAAATAGCATAGCAAAGGAATAGCAGGTTATTTGTATGCCAAGGCAGCTGAATGCAGGCAGAGCTTTGCACTGCAGCTGCTGAGGGCTCTGGAGATGCTGGTTGCCCTTCTGGGATCACACCTGGGCTGAATTTCCAGGTCTTTGTTCTGAATTTCCAGGTCTTTTGCTCTGCTCGTTCCCACAAAGGACCTGCCCAGCACTCCAGAGAAATCCTCAGCCATCTCCAAGTGCTTTGAGCCACGTTCTGTGTGCTGGTGCGTTGAAAAGGAATCTTTAGGCTATTTTAGACAAGTGTTCTCAAGCTTTGGATGGTCCTTAATGACAGCAGAGAAACTGCCTGGCACCAGCAGGTTCTGTGTCTGTCAGACATCTGAGTGGTGCTGCTTGTGCCTCATCCCAGCACTTTGGAGCTGAAGGAATCGAGGCACAGGGCAGGAAAAGAACTTCTGGGTGTCTGAGTGAGAATCTCTCGTGCTCCTGGAAACAGGAGCTGCCTCTGCTCCTTTGCTGATTTGCTGTGCTGGATTTGTCCGTGGAAATGCATGAATATTCACCTGGAAAGAGAATAAATTATTCATGAGAGCAGTGGCCCAGAGCTGCTGGAAGTGCCAAGGCCCAAATCCCAGAGCTGATCCCTTTGCTGTGCTGATGCTCCTGGGGAGGGGGAGCAGCAGGAGAACAAACTGACTCCAACCCGCTCGCCTCATTGTTTTTATTTTTTTATTCCCCCCCCTCCATACACAGACACCTCTTTTGTTTTGTTTTATTTTTAGGATCGGGCTCTGCATGAGCTTCTGAGGCAGGTCTGGATCTGTGGGATTAGTGGAGATGGAATGAAAGGTACTGGTG